GTGCCGCAGTTGCTCACACTGATGGGACTAATGGTGTCCTCGTCCTCAATGGAAAGGCCGTCAACGGCCGACTCCAGGGTCTCGGTGATTGCACCATCGTGTTTCCTCAGGCGATAAACATTCATACCGCTCTCGCCGGCTCCGGCTACCATCAGATCCCCGATAAAGGCTAGGCCCCAGACCTCGGTTCGATTATCGACGATGGTCTTAAAGCAGAACTGCGTCTCTAGGTTCCAGAACTTGATCTGTGTGTCCTTCGAGCAGCTGACCACGATGCTGTCGTCTACAACTCTTTGAAGGAAATGGGCATCTGTGATGGCGGCATTGTGACCGCTCAAACGGGCTCTTCCCGCCTGCTCCACCACATCGACGACGACCAGTTCGGTATCCAGACCTCCGCTGACCAGGCGCATGCCCTGCAGATCGTACCGCAGGATGCTCACCGCGTTCTTGTGCAGCGCCAGCGTGCAGATGGGATCGTAGTACCTGTCGGAGCTGAGATCGAAGATCTGGACCATGCCATCCGCATAGCCCACTGCAATGTGCAGGTGATCTGGCGAGACCCTTAGGCAGGTGACTTCGAACTTCTCACGGCGTAGCGTCAGCTTGCGATCGCCCATTCTGGGGGTAATAATTGGTTTATTGTAGTTTCGGGGATGTCAAATAACCATGTATGCAAGACCCACCTTAAATCCCACACGATCACATTCTCTGCTGCTGGAGCGGCCACATATCGGCCCTCCGTCTTGTCCACAATGGCAAAGTTCACATTGGCACGCCCGGAGGTGATGATATTGAAGCTGTCTATAGCCCGGTAGGCCAAATATTGTTTAGTTAAGCCCATTGCAGCATTAAAAACACAAGAGGTAAATTCAAAACGCGTTTCACGTGTTGAGAGATGGAACTAAATCGATTTATTATTTTATAATATCGGTTGTTTAAGGAACTACATTTTCGATATTAACCCCATTGGTTGGCAACGCGGTTGTCTGGCAACGCCGCCAGATTTCCGTTGGGCGCCTGCGCTTTTGAAACTTGAAATGTTAACAAACCCACCCCAAAACCGATTAAGATAACTCTGATTAGCCAATTCAAGCTGCAGTTTTTGCACAAATAGTTGATAAAGAAAATCTGTAAAATGTCTGCTTATCCCAGTGCTTCCGCCTCCCAGTCGACAGGTATAACGAATAATGAATATTTCACAAACTTTCACTGATAACTGCAATGCCCAAAACCTCTTAGGAACTTCGGACCTGGACACAGAATCCGTGGAGGTTTTGCGGGAGCGGCTCAGCACCATGAAGCGGCTGATGGCCGAGCGGACGTCCCAGCAGCAGAACAACCCGGCGACCACGGAGGAGATATTCTCCACCAAGCGCCATCGATCGGCGGGCATTATTGACGGCAACTTCCTGAGCATCGCCTTTGGCGGGGCTCTGTTGGTCATTATCACGGTTTCGGTGTACGCTTTCTACAATCTCTACCATGCCATACTCAAGAAGTTCCCATCTCGCCACGAGGAGCTGTAAACGGTGCCAAAATGTTCGGGGGTTTTCTCCACTTGAAATGTACGAGTTTCTGCATTTAATAATAAATTGTAGCTTGAATTTTAACTACGAAAGTGAAAAGACCTTGGGGGCATCTGCTGTTTTGCATTCGGGTTAATCAACGCCATTTATTGGAGTTCAACACATACAAAAATCAATATTTTATTTTACTTTTTACATCTTTTACGTTTTCATCATTTGGTTCGAATTACAACTAAGTGGAGAAAACTGAATGCATGGACAGCAAAAACAAAAAGGGCGTTTTGGAATATGATGCTGCTATGAAAAATAATCAAAATATAACACAGGTGTACAATAAAAACAAGACATGAGACGAAATGCTGAGAAGGAACACTTTTTGGGGGGATGGAGCGCACAGAATCTTCTGGCAAAAACTCATGGATTTGATTTTGCTTACTCGCTAGCTACAATCGAAACTCTCTAACCTCCTCTCGCTGCCTATTGTTCATTATTTTATTCTTACCCTTTGCCTTAAACATTAGTGTGTTCGCTAAACTCCTATTTTATGTGTATGAGTTGTAGATTTCATTAATATTTTGTATATTTTTCTCATATAGTTCGATAGATTTGTTGGGTAAATAATAACTAATATCCGTTTGTTTTTCTTTGTTTTTTCTTTTTTAATTCAAATAATATTAGTTTAAGTTTCGCAAAGTTGCATTCCTTGCACAGTGTAACAGTTCTACTATTTGTTTTTCATAATTAGTGGTTTAAGGCGGCCATAAGTCAAACCATTTGAATTTCGGAATCCACTTGAATTTCCAAGTTCAAGAAATTTAAGAGAATATTGAACATTGAGAGGGCTAAAAATGAACTGATACTATAGTTTTGGTTTCTGTTGATAAATCTCTTTGCTATTTTGCTGTTGCTGCGCCGCTCTGTGGATGTTGGATTGGTTGGTTGTTGCTTGGATCTCGAGGAGGACTCGCGGCTACTTGCTTTCTGCTTTTTACAATTGGTTAAATTCCCTACTATTCTCGAACTGACTCTGCTGCTGCTGGTGCTGCCGAGGCGGACGTTCCAGCCGCTCCCGCCGTCGTCGTCCCTCCCGGCGCCACTTTGTTTCTTGTTAATCAGATATTGTCAACGGAGTCGGCATCATCCTCCGAGCTGATCTCATCGCCGAACTCGATGTCCTCGTCGAAGCCATCCTCCACGAATGTGACCGTCTCGTTGATGCGCACGGACTCGGGGAACTCGCCGTAGGTCTTCAGATTCCTGGCCTCGTCCGGAGTGTACTTCAGGATCACATCCGCCTTCGAGTCCTGGTAGTCACGCAATCCCACCAATATGATGTCGCCCTGGTTAATCCACACCTGCAATAGGAAAGGGAAACATAATCAAACAATGTTATCTAGTTTTTTGTTTTGGGAAAGACCGCATCGAATCGCTTTCTTTGTTTTATGAGTAACTCTTTGGGGAAAAAGCAAACTCAATTTTGCAGCTTGTATTCCGTGTAATAGATAAAAGATAACTGATCTACGGCGCACAGCGACTCCATTTCGCGAATTTCACAAAAGAGTGAAACGAATGGCCATGCAAATGACCTTGGAAAAAGTGTGGCAAACACAAGAAGGTTCCATTTTATGAGAAAGATATGTGAAATACAGAAATCCATGGTCATTTCTAGGACGATTTCGCAAGAGGAGGGAAAAGAGCTCACGTGAGCTGAGGAGTAATTAAATCCCCGTGGATCGCAATCAGTACTTGAAGTAAAACATCAAACATTGATAAATCAAAGATTAAAACGGCTAGCCGACCACAAGGCACTCCACCAAAACGAGTTCACCGTCACATAGAGAAGATAAATTGGCACGCTGAATGAAACGCGTAATAGTGGTTAATTCCACGAAAGACGGAGAATTTTTTACCGACGAGATAAGACACTCCAATCACGGGCTAACCGAATTTTGGTACCGATGGTACTGATAAGAAAGTCGTTCTGCAATATAAATAACAAGACTCTTGAGCAAACATTTCCTTAATCGGATGCGAATAAACGAGGAGGCCTGACAACTGATTGAGATACCCCCTCATTGTGACGTCAAGCAAAAGATTGGAGAAGTAGGAAGTGCAAATTGCAGTAAAACCTGAGGTACTGATGAGAAAACCCCCCTGTAAATGTAATCTTACTCAACTGAAAGAGTCGATGACCTAGGACAAGTTGCACTTGTTGGTGATCAAAGCCCATTCATAAATTCACTTCCCAAAAGCTACTTCCTGCCAGTAGCACTACGCTAGAGGGGGGCAATATAAATTCCAATGCCACGACTAGATGACACATATATAGAATCTGTTGACCACGTAAGGATCGATAAGCGACGATACCCAGTGGTGGCTTTAAAGTAAATTGAACGGAATCGACGCCACTGTCGAATGATTCCCGCATTACGTATGTGCTGGAAATAAATAACCATTTTGGGCCCTCGGTGAACTTTGGAGTATTTATCATCCATTAAACGGATGGCGTCGCGTCGCGCTTCCATCCTACTATCTGTTCCATTACGTATTCCCTACCGTTGTGGAAACCCAACACGATAGATCATGCCCGAAAGAATCGTGACTAAATTGAATCGAAATTGCCATTTTACGATGGTTACCAGATAAGCCTGGGCACATTCCCCCATCCTAGAAGCCAGCTGGTGGGAAGCACCCGATTCCTCGACTGATTGCACGGCAGTGTGCCAATGAGTAAGTTAACGAGTATGTGTGATCCGTCAGAGGTTTGGCATTCGAGGCAGCAGGTCTTTATAGACTATATATAGCCACAGGCATCATTGAACTCATATGGCATCAGGCAGTTTGCACTGGTTTGCTCTGTTTGAGAGGTAAAATTTCGTTTCTCCATAGACGGATTCTGTAAGAAGATACAATCAGTTAAATTAGTACTCTACCTTCAATTTATTACGAGTTTTAATTTATGAACTCCCATAAGTTTAATCAACGATATACGTTCATGGGTTTAACCACTTATTCGGCATAATTCGATGTGTCATAAACATTCCTACACTGAAAAAGTAACATAAATCAAATAAATAGGTATTTCCGAAATAAAAATTTTCAATAGTTAAATACCAATGAACAATGAGATTATCTTCCCACGCTGTCCTTATCTGTGAAACAAGTACGCACTTGTCTGCATAACAAAATCTAGTGTAGATTAGGACCGATCAGAGACCATCATCTCCACGTAGGGCATTCCTGAGCAAGACATAGCCTATACTAGAACTTAGACATGCGATTGGCACTCGCCAAAATTCTGCTATCTCAACTCGACACTGATAACGAACCATATAGGGGGGCAGGTAGCTCGCTCCCGCTTTCTTGACTCCGATAAGAAGCCACCAACCACAATTTGGGGAGGGCGACTCTCTCCAGAGTGGTTCTCCCTATAAATACAACACTCACTGCCGGCAACGGGCAAATCTAAAATCGGCAGCAAGCAAGAGACACCTGAACGAAAAAAACGAAAGACACGGCAAAATCGGGCCGAATAAAGTGAATTCCATGATAAAGCGAAACGGAATACAAGTGAAGTGCTATCGATACGCCAGAACAAGGGCGAAGAGCTAAAGAAGCCGCGACCGGAATCCCCTAAAGAACCGTCGCGCCTCCACAATCCAAAAGACCGAACCCGAACCGTCAAAATTACTTACTATTACCCTCCGATTTCGTGCGGCGCGTGCAACCAGAGCGAGGACATCATGCTCTTATCCTACCGATGCATCTACTCGGTGCTGCTGTCCACCATAGCCAGTATTATGGTGGTCCTCAGCTCTGCATCCTCCGGCTCCATGCAGCTGCCCACCGTTCGCAAGTGCGGCGGTGGCGTCAGCTCCACGGGAGCAGCCCACACTATGGCCATGAACTTGGCGGCCTACGGGCTGCTGGAGAATCGGATTAGCACTCTGGAAGCACCGCGACAAACGCACTGGAGCAAGAAGTTCCTGGCCAAGCGGGAAGCGACTCCACACTCAGCGCCCTATGTGGTCAGCATCCAGATGATGACGCCGGATCAGGACTGGTCCACTACTGTGCCGGCACTGTGATCAACGAGCACTGGATCCTGACGGCGGCCCACTGCCTCAGTTCACCGCAGGCGGTGGAAATTCCGTCATTGTGGCGGGCAGTCACGACATCCACGATCAGAAGGGAGAGGCGACCAACATCCAAATGCGACACATCGACTACTACGTGCGCCATGAGCTTTATCTGGGCGGAGTGAATCCCTACGACATTGCTCTCATCTACACCAAGGACCACTGGTCTTCGACGACTATGTCCAGCCAGCCACGTTGCCGGAGCAGGATGCTCAGCCGGAGGGCTATGGAACTCTTTACGGCTGGGGCAATGTCTCGATGACGGCGGTGCCCAACTATCCACATCGCCTGCAAGAGGCCAACATGCCCATCCTGGACATGGAGCTCTGCGAACAGATCCTCGCCCGCTCCGGCCTCCAGCTGCACGAAACCAATCTGTGCACTGGTCCACTGACGGGTGGCGTTAGCATCTGCACCGCCGACTCCGGCGGTCCGCTGATCCAACAGTGCTGCGAGGAGCACTTCGAACGGGCCAACATCGTCATTGGCATCGTGTCCTGGGGCAAGATGCCCTGCGGCCAAAAGAACGCCCCCTCGGTCTTTGTCCGTGTCTCTGCTTTTACTGACTGGATCAATGAGGTCATCAGCACGGCCACCCGGATCATTTAGGATGATCATTGGAAAGGAATGAGCGCTCGAATGTGAAGATATCGAAAAAATTAAATATACAAACGAAAAAAAAAAACACAAAAGATTGAAAAACCCAAAGAAAAATTTAGATTCTCTATATAATCTCACTAGGCAATTAAGATGAACAAATATAGAATTATATACTGCCCTGATTCTTGTAATTTAAGACTTAGTTTAAGCTTACAAAAAAAACTGAATAAAATGTTGAATATATTTAAATGGAAAAAAACGCCACCACTGTCTTTTTATTTTTAGCTAATCTAGATAAATAAAAGGGGATAAAAATAGAATTCATATGACCCATTTTATCCCACAGTTATGATATCACATGGAAGTAAGAATAGTTATCTTATTTTTTCGACTAAAATAGCTAACAAATAGAACCAAAATAGAAATATGGATCTCCAAGTTAGGTCCAAATTAAATTGCGCAGATTTTTATTAGAAAAGTGCGTTTGCACCGTTCTTGGCACTTCAGGCCAGTCGAAAGTAATTGTGAAATAAGCTGGGCCCTCGGCCAGATAAGAATATGCCATCCATTTCTGTTGCCGGGCGGGGAGCAGGCGGAGTTTTGGGGGGCAAAAGCACAACTCACCTGGCGCCTTCCACGCATTAGTCATGCTCCCACTGTCTGGCCGAAAAAAATGGCAATTGAGAGCATGTTACGACTGTCAGATTAGGATCTGCGACTTGATTAACAGGGAGCTCATAAAGACAGCTAAATTGGGGCCATCAGCTGACTACTGGGTGATTGGCAGACATTTGAGGACAGCCTGTGCAAAGATACACATAACTCTTTTTACTACCACGAAAATGGGGTCTACACTCTAGACATCTGAGAGCTAGCTCGTTGAACCTTGAGACCAAACCCACCGTTGCACTTTGAGCCCTCAAGAACTGAGTAATTGGGGGAGAAACAAGGTATAATTCCGCACTTCCAGGAATTATCAAATAATTCACTTTGACAGATGGTCTAGGAAAGTCCCATAAGGTATTCCAATTCCATGATATGATCAAATCAATTAGAAGGCATTTTCATGGATAAAAGATAAGGAATAAAATAAATAATTGTATTTTTTCAGATAGGAAAGGGAATACATTTATAATCGCTGGGTTTTCAATTTTAGAATGCGTCAGAATGGTTACGTGTACTTCCTAGTTTTTTTCAAAATTATTTTTTACAAATGTTTAACCCTATAAATTAAAAAGAAAGTTTTACTTAAAGAAAAGTGTGCTTTCTTATCTCTTAAAAAGATTAGAACTGAACCACATAATTTTAACAGTGAGTGCGCCAATAAAGTCCTTAGGCAACCTATTTCAAAGATAAGGACCTGAATTAATGGTAATTAAGACACATGCACTGAGTGCCTAAAATTGTATAACTATTCATTATGTGATCATGTGAGATTACAAATCCATTTATGGAAAACATAAAATTGCGTCGTTTGAAAATATAATTACGTTTTCTTTCTGTCATGACTTTTGACAGTAGATTAGATAAATGCCAATAAATGCCAAAGACCAAATTCTATCAAAGAATAATTGCCAAGTCAGGATGTTGTAGGGGGTTAATTTTATGGCGGAGCACGTGTTTAAAATTCTTTCACCGTGTTTATTTCAATTGCATATGAAACCAAAAACGAGGTAATGGTGCACTATCTTACCTTAAACAACAGGTGACTTTCTATTATAATCTATGTCGAATAATCTATTTTATAATCAATTTATTTATTGAATTTATAAAGATAGTGAAGTCCAAAACCTATCGTCTGAATTCATAGGAAATCCTAGTGCAAAAATAGATCACTATCTGTTTTGTTTTCGCAAGGCCAACTCCGATTTCGATCGGTTTATTTGCATTTACAGTGCCTCCCATATCGCAATTAACCTGAGACATGTTTTTCACTGTCTAGGAATTTTCCTTGCGTTGCCTCTCTTTGTTTATAACTTCATGTGCTTGATTTGTTCGCTACGATTGGACTCCACTTCTGGTCTTGTATATTTACTTGACACCTACAAGAGCATATGGCCGTACGTCACTACTAACTCGCGATTCTTGACGTAGTCGATTTGGAATCTTATTTATGACGCCCGTCTCCTGCGGGCTGAAGCACCATCCCAAATTTGACATGTGCTCATACCTTTCGGAAGAATTGATATCATCGGTTTAGAAGCGACCTCGACCAAGGCTAACTCAGGTAGATGATAAGGCAAAACTGCAATTGCAGACCTACTTTATAAGTAACCTGCATGTTAAAAAAATAAAGGCGGGAGTTTTCAGGTAACTTAAATTTCTATTCAAATGTAGGAGTATACATAAAATTATGTGTATTTATATAAGGTATTTCCTATTCTTTGATTCAAAACTTATCATTTGAGATGCAATTACATTTTGAACAGATATCCTCCGTCATAGTGATCTATTATATTCTTAATTTAGTTTGTATTCGAAAAAATTAAGTTAATCATCAACAACACTTAAATCTCGATTATTTTAAGGCTTTAAAAATAATTTTTAATGTATACATAAGTTTTAACTGTTACAATCCCTACTTTTTTTGAAGAGAGATATTAATATACAATTGAAATATACATATTTAAATTTATATACATGAATACACCATATAAGAAATAAGATGGTGGGACACCCTGTATTTGCAATCTAATGTTGTGATTTCATCTAAGTGTGTACATATGGTACATAGGCACTTGTGTATTATTAAACAGTTGCCCCTCTTCTCCCCTTCCCGCCTACGCCCCTTTGTTAAGGCATTCGCACAAGGACGATGACACCCACTCAATGAAAGAGAATGGCCAACAAAGAGAGCCAAATACGAGATGGCAAGGCCACAGTTAGGGCCATAAAAGCGAATTAGATGGGGACTACCGAAAAAAATCAAAAATTACACATGAAGGCTGCATTTTTGCAAAACAATAATGTAAATACGTAGCATTCGCTGGCAATCAATGCCAGAGTGGCCTAAGAGAACGCATTAAGAGAGTGGCTCCAAGTTAAGGGAGCACTGCTCCCCAATTTAAGAGACCGAGACAAAGAGACTGGATGCGACTGTGAACTCACCTTCTTGCGAAGTTTCCCCCGAATGTGACACAGGCGTTTGACGCCATCGAAGCACATTGCCTCCAGACGACCGTTGCCCAGCATCTTGGTCACCTGCGCGTACTCCTGCTGATCCTCCTTGAAGATCAGCTCTCGCTTCTCGAACTCGTTCTCGTTCTTACCACGACGACGATTCTTGCCACCTTTTCCTTTATTCTTGGGCATTTTGCTTGTTCTTCGCTGTTGCTGATGTGCTGCTTTCTACGGCTGTTGTCGCTGCTGTCTGCGGGGGTGTTGTCGACGCTGGTTCGGAGATAAAGTAAAACCGTTAATAACCGACTGACTAGGCGCATATCAATGTAACGAACATATTAACACGAGTAATCCCAATCGAACTGCTCAAACTTACAATTTTGTCAAATGTAAATGTGACAATTTCGCCTCGCTAAAGTGAAAAGAGCGGTTCCGCACGGAACCAGTGTCGGATATCGAACTGGTGCTATCGATAGTAGTCAAGGTCTGGCACACTGGTTAAAAATATCGATAGTATCCGTTATTTTTTAATTTAATTTAAAATTTAATTAAATGGATAATTAAAACACAAAAATATTTAATCTTTTTTATTATAAAAATAGAAAAATTTAAAAAGGATAGTCACTATCAAAACATAAGCATCGATTTATGAACATCTGATTTGTATATATCGATAGCAACGTTAGGGGCACTCCTGCACTATTGTTTATAAGCTTGTAGAAAAATAAACTTGACGGAGGAATTTCCAAACCCAACCCTCGGAATTCGCCAGGATGCACCAGGCCTACAGTGTTCACTCCATCCTGAAGCAGGCGTGCAGATAGAGTCCATAGCGGCGTATGGTCGGTGGAAATCAGGAGTCCACTAATCATTACTCACCGGGGCATTGTCCCTTTCAGGCAACCATGTCATCTTGGGCACCCGCAGCGGGCAGCTCATCATGTACTCCGTGGACGAGGAGACCGGCGTGGACATGCGGATGTTCAACAAGAACTTCAGCCGGAAGCCCATCACCCAGATGGAGGTGATTGCCTCGGAGAATCTCCTTTTCGTACTCACCGACAACCTGGTGCAGGTGTGCGATATCAGAAGGATCGAGAGCAACTTCGCCTTTATGCACAGTGCCCCGGACACAAAGGGCTGCACTCTGTTCACCATGGACGTGGACACGCCCAAGTCCATAACCGGGCGGGTGGCCACCTTATACGCGTGTGCTGCGCCATCCGCCGGCGCTAGTGTTCTTCTTCTGGAAGGAGGACAAACTGAACTCGCTGGAACTGAGCATTGAGCTGAGTGATGTGCCCAGGAGCCTTTGCTGGGTGGGCCATGCAGTCTGCGTGGGCTACAAGGACGAATATGTGGTCTACGATGTGAGGATGCACTCAAAACGTGGAACCTTGTGTTTAAATTCCTTTATTTGCTCTTTTAGATATCTGGAACGTCACCAAAGAAGCACGACCTGTTCCTAACCTCCTCCACCATTAGCAGAGATCCCTGCATCTGCCTCATCCGAAATAATATGCTGGGCATCTCCAAGGACAGCTTTCTCGTTGCAGTAGATCCAAATCAGTACAAGGAATCGCTGATGGCTCCACTGACTTGCGACCGGGGGCATGGAGAGCAATAGTTCCATGGCTCCGCTGCTCTGGTCAAGTCCCTTGCTGGATTTGGGTAGGAAACATTATATATTTCCACACCTGCGCTCTTTCATAAACCTTTTAAATTACAGTCTGGGATGAGCCATATGCCGTGGGTCGGGTAAACAATGCCATCGAGGTACGCAGCCTGGTGGGCAAGGACACCCTGGTCCAGACCATTCCCGAGTTCAAAAAACCAAGTTCCTGGTCCATGCCGACAAGGGAACCATTTTTGCAGCCGCCACCTCAGAGCTTTGGTGCATTCGAATGGTGGATATTCCGCCCAGCGTCAACAGTTGCTCCAGCAAAAGAAGTTCCAACTGGCCATAGAGCTGACGGTGAGTTGGATAAAGAGATATTTCCAACTCGATTGTTTTAACCATTATTTTCAGCAAATATCTGATGAACCAGCCGGGATCGAGAACAAACCATTCGCCAAATACACATGCTCT